AAACTTGAAAATCTTAAAAATTGACGATCCAAAATGAGTTATAAAATACACTATTTTCAAAACTTAAAATCCATTTTTTTCTCATGCCTATGCATCTTGACATCGAGATGATCAATTTGAGGATATTTGAGCATCAAAACAACCTCTTTTAGTAAAATTTTTTAGATAGGCTCTAATTTGATTATTTAGAGCCTCGACTCTATATAAACTTTTCCAAAAAATCATATTCAACTCAAAAGACATAGAGATAGATTACATAGAGGTGGACCCAAACCTCGACGCATAAGGATTAACTGGACCAGGACCCGGACCCCGAACCGACCCGTTGCCACCCCGCCCTCTCACCTCTCTCCTAAAATCACATCACCACACTACTCACTAGTCACACTTAGTTTTGCATTTCTACCCCCTCTGTCGCTTCTAGTCAAAGATACCTACTTCCAAACATTATCGAAAGTCGGTTTTATGTAGAAGTCACAAGAAGTTCCTCATCATTCTGATTTAGAGTTTAAGCAATCTCCATCTCTCTTTCTCTCTCTAAAAAGTTGGGGAAATTCCATTTGATTTCCACTCCTTTCATGTGACCCTGGGGGGGGGGGGGAATCTCTTTCGTTGTCCTTTCAAAGCATTACATTTTAGGCAAAAGCCTCTACTCGTGCAAGGATTTACAGAAATGTTTCTCTTCGAGATTTTTCTCATATGTGAACTCCAACCAAAGGGTGTGATTTGCATAATGTTGCAATTTTAAACGATCAAATTAAGATGCGTCTCTAAATTTTATCATAAATATAATTTTGATGTTTATATTTTTTAGGATGGTTTGAGAATTGTTTTTTATATCTAATTATAAAATTTTAAGCTCTTACAATAGTACAAATGAAGTAGATGTGTAAATACATAAAAAATTTAAAAATTTGGAGTCAATATGATTTAAAAAATAAAATAAAAATAAAATAGTATTTAAGCTTGACATTGTGATTGAGACCATCTTAACCATTTGTTCATATTGTACGTCGAGAGAAGTGACATGCATGAATTCCTTATCCCTAGTGGCATAAAGAAAGTTTTTCCATTAGTAAAAAAAAATTCAAAAACGAAAAAAATTTATATAAGGTTGAGGCCCTAAATAATCTAATTAAGGTGTACCTCAAAATTTACTAGAAGAATTTGTTTCAATGCCCAAAAATTGTAACATCTCGACCTCAAGATGTATGAACATGAGAATAAAAAAGATTTAAAGTCTTGAAAATAGTGTATCTTTTAATACATTTTTTGGAACATTAATTTTCAAAATTATCAAATGCTCATACATTTGTTCGATCTACATTATTTTAAAATTTAAAATTATATTATTAGATATGAAAATAAATTTCCAGCCTAACACAAAGATGCATTCTTAATCTAGCCGCATACTAATCACCGATAAATAGCTTATTACGCTGAGATTAAGAGTTAATTATCTAATTATCAGCTCTGGGCCCTAAATTAATGATGAGTTCGCGGCGCTCTATAAATGGTGGAAATACCCTTTATCGAAAAGCGTTCTGCGGTCAGTTTACCCTTAAAAACCATTCAAATCACTGAAACAAACCCTCTATCTCTCTTCTCAAGGAGCTTAAATATCGAGCCCTTCTCCATTCAGTTCCACAAATGCATTTTTAAGGTGCTTTTTTACCGTATTCTCCATTAAAGCTCGAGCAAATTTTCCTTCACCTTTATATCAAAACCCTAATTTTTGGTACTTTTTTGTTACAATTATGAAGTATTTGCCCCGAATTTATAGGCCTTAGCATAAGATCTTCACTCTGTTTTTCTCTCTCTCTGGTTTTTTTTTTTTGAATGTTGATTTTCATTGTGTTTTTCTCTCCGTAACATCAAGGATTGCAGGTTTGATCTCTGTAACTTTTTATGCATAAAGCAGCTTCAAATTTTGCTCTGAGTTTTCTTTAAAATCGAGCTCTTTTTCACTGCTAATGGTTATTCGTATGAATTTTCAGCCATAAATTCAAAAATTGAGGTGCTTTTCTCCATTTGCAGTCTAGATACTGTATTTTAATTTATAAGCGCTAAAGATTGAGCAATTCGTCCCTAGTTTTTGAAGAGAGCAACATTATTTTTGTCCATGAAGCTTGAAGATCGAGCTACTTCTCTTTAAGCTATTGAACTATCTCATTCTGGTTCAGAGAAGCAGAGTTGAAGCTATGGCTTGTTTTTGCTCTGTGTTAACATATTAGAAGGTTAAAGATTGAGCTGATTTCTCACAGTTGAGGCTGGCCGCTGGATTGCATTTTTAAGGTACGCTTCTCTGAACTTTTGCAATTTTCCATTAAGAAATTTCTCAACTCTACTCCTATATCTGCATATAATTCTTGTGTCTTTTCCCTCTCTAATCATCTTTCTCTCTCCGAAAAGGCTGAAGATTGAGCTATTCTACACATTTCAGAAATGTGTTTTCCAGTGTAACTCTCGCATGGGGCAATTTTTTGTTTGTAAGTATCATCTTCAGATCTCTGTCCGGATTTCAGGACGAACATAAGATATTTTTGTATATCTTCTCTTTAAGAGTTCTGCATTGTGTGCGGTCACACGAGCATGGCACCGGATCCTATCAGAAATTCAGAATTCTAAAGTTACATGTGCTTGAGCAGCATCAAAACCGATTGAACCAGGTCTTATCCAAATTAAATTTTGATTTAGTAAAAAACCGATCAAAACTAAAGTTCGATCGTTTTGAACAGACCGACTGGCTGTTTTTATCTCATTGGATAGTGTTTTTTTGTTTTTGGAAATGGGTTGAGGTTGGGGTTGGGGTTGTGGTGACTGCACGCCCACACCCTAATAATCACGTTATTGTATCCATTCTCATTAACACATGACACCTTAAAAAAACTAAAAGATTTCGTAAAAACCTCTGATTACCCTTCGTATTTCATGATAGATCTTCTTTCGTAAAAGAAAAAAACTCTCAAGTATTTTAATATACTTTCTCATCTCTTCTCTCAAGTCGGTAAATATTTTACCGTACGTCTTATCTCTTATATCTCAAGTTTATTCATTTTCGGCCATAAAAATTAGTTTTAAAAAATTATTTTATTTCATCTCGATCCAAAAACTTTTTAAAAAAGTACACAATAGGATTAAAAATGCTTTTGAATTGAGATGAAATAAAACAATTTATTGGGATAAGTTCTTATGGCAAAAAAAAATGAATAAACCTGAGAGAAAAGAGACGAGAGGGTACGACGAAAAGGGTCGTTTTATGCAAAAAAAAAATAGAATGGAGGTCTAGGAGAATGGGAATGGTCTACTGTAAAATAAGATGGAGAATTAAAGATCTGTACGATATTTTTTCAAAAACTAATTCTTAAACTATTCAAAAATAGATAGGGGTAGGGCTAAATTACCCTTCAAAAAAAAAAAAAAGGGAAAGAAAGCAACTTTTTTAAGATATATTATATATTTTTAAAATATTCATTTAAATGTTTTAAAAATCTTTTCAAACTTATTCAACCGGTGGTCACATTAACCAGACTGCTTTTGATTACACTAGTACTAGCTCCCTTGTGTCGCACCCCTCTAAAACGCTTAAAAATCCACCCTGCAATTTTCTCTTAAGATTTCTATATGAAAAATGAAACCTTGTGGCCCACCCCTTTAAAACGCTCAAAAGAAAACAATTCTTCAATTTTCTCTTTGAGCATAGATTTCTAAAGCACTAGTTCTGAAGCATCGCTATGAAGTTTTCTCTCTCCGATGTGAATAATGAGCTACTTTTTGACACCTTAATTTTAGGTAAGTAGTTTCCTCTTCATGAAAAAAAATAAACAGAGGGCTTAAAAGTTGCACTGTACCTTTTACTTTGTGTCCAAAGGAACAATGTTTTAAGCTTAAACCTTTGAAAATTTCTACTATTTTGAGGATTTACAGGCAAATTTTTTGTACGTTTTCACATATTTTGAAGATATCAAGTGTTTCGAAATTAGGAAATGCCACCAGGTATTTCTAATTTTGATTTCCCCCAAATCTAACTTATGCAATTCCCGGGTCGACCAGGGCAATATTTAATGAAAGAAACAAAGAAAAAAAAATAGAAAGTATGGAGACTCAAGCCATTCCAAGATTTTCTGTACTGAATGCCCATACTCCCAATCTCGTCCAACTCAGGCAATTTTGAGGTGGACAAGCGATTTTTGAATCAATGGATACAGCTACTATGGATCCCTTTTGTAAATAAATTCAAAGATGATCCTTTTTGAAGTCTTTAGTATTGAAGGAAAAGAAAGAAGATTGATGTTTTCTCTTCCTATGTAATCAGGCTCTTTTATTTTTTTTTATGTCTTTGATTAAATAACTTGGAAAGCATCCCAAATAGTTAAGATAAGGCTCTTTTATTTTTTTTTATGTCTTTGATTAAATAACTTGGAAAGCATCCCAAATAGTTAAGATAAGGCTGATGAATTAGAAAAGGGACTACTAGTATGATTAGGGGTTGGATTTTGCATAATTTAGAACCAAATAGATGACTTACCTTAGTTATTGTGAATGGATAATGGAGTTGCCATGCAGCACACTGATAATATGCAACTGCATTGTTGCATACTTGCCAAAACTAATATAAGATTAGGGGACAATTGAAATCCATGATTTAAGATTGTCCGAACCGGTTGTTGCCGGTCTTTTATTTTTCTCGATACAAGAAAACCTTGGACAGTTGGCGAGTCGAATCCAAACCGATTGAGCTGATTGAGTTTAGCCTAGAAAGATTGGCCCTACCTATTTTTTTATATAGATTAAGGAGTTAGTTTTTTTTTTTTAAGGTGTCCGAAGGTGGTGTGAGCAAGATTGGAAACCACAACGTGGTAACTAGGTATGGGGTACTACTTCCTACTATTTAATTTTTAAAAAAACTAAATTTAGAGAGGCTATATATACCTTTGTGACAAGAATGCTATAATCAACCTTGGTTCACATTTGAGATTGGATAAGGTGGGGAGTGATACTTCTCTTCACAAAGTCTAATAAACTTTATCCAAACTTTGACATAATTAACAATAATACCCCCAATCACCCAGTTTCCCATCCAATGGCCAGGAGCGAAAATGACCCTAAAAGTAAAAAGCCTTATTGTATACCTTTTCATTATTTTAAATTAATTTTAATACTTTTTTATTTATAATGTAATCAAATCAGAGAAAACTTTGGCACAAGATCCTAGAGTTTGTCTCAAATCGGACACCCTGAGGCTGAGATTGTGGCCAAAATTTGGGGTTTAATACTTTGGCTGTCTTTTCCTAAGAGAATTTGGTTGAAGCTCAAAAAATGGATTTCTTAACAAATGATGAGATCGTTAAAAAAATACTGTGTTGTTCTTGTAGAAAATGAAACTTCCATCAAATTTCAGTTTCTCTTTTTGGATTTTGCAAGAATTTCACCAATTGTTTTCTTCATCTTATGCGTCCTATGTAGTCAGCCGCTTCGGTATTTCTATTTGTGGGAAATAGACAAGCAAATAAGACAACTTCAATTTCCTCAATACAAGAAAGAAATTTCCTCAATACAAGAAAGAAATTGATGCTATGGATATGCTCGGAAATTACGATTCCCACTCTCCGCATTTTTAGTACTTCTAGGGCAAAACTTAGCATATTCGCAGTGATAAGTGATGACTGATGAGAACCAAGATCTGTTATAATAGTGAGTTGGTGACTTTTAATCAATGTCTTATTCGGTTTGGTTCAAAGTAAATTGAGTTTGTTTGAATATTTAAATTAAAAAAAAAATATTGAGTTTGATTGAAAAACAATAAAAACCAATATTTGACCGATATTGGCTAGTCAAACTAACTTGTTTGAACCAGTTCAACTATCAAAATAACTTTGGGGAAACATTTTAAAAATATTATATGTTTAGAATATGATACCTATTTTTCTTTTCTTTTTTCTAAAATTCAATCCAACTGGTTTAACATGTGGTTGACTTGTTTTGATTTGTCCAAACTCCTCGTCAGTTTGGTGGCCGATCCAATCCCGATAACATTGATAATCACACTATCACGATGATAATATTTTTATTTTCTTTTTGAAAAAAGTATATATTGAGACTATATATCTCTGGTATAAAGAGATCTCCATATGTTGCGATTGTCCTATTGACAATGCTAAAGATCAACAAAAAAATTTACAAACTTTGTAACATGCCTAAGCTATCAAATTTTACATATGCTGAGTTTGAGCTAATATCTTATAGTTTACAACTCTTTTCTACGAGGAAAATGTTTATCTAAGATTGCAACTTTATGCTATTGAAATAAGGTGCACCTCATAATATATAGAATAGGCAAATTAAGCATTAAAACTAGCGAAGCCAAGGGTCAGGGAAATCCTGGCCTGAGCCTAAAACCAAGCGTCAACTTGTGGCCTAGGGCTGGCCTTAACTATTTCATTGCGGCTTAAGTTCAGCCCTATTTGTCTTTAAGGAATGATTGTGACCTCCATGTGCAGCGCAGAAGATAAATGGTCGCGTAAATAATCCCATAATAGATATTATAAGAACTGAAGCAGTGATATTTATCTTTTGTTACATTTATGAACTCCAAAGTTGATGGCAACTTGGTAATAATTTGTGCATACTTCATCTTTTGTTACATTTATGAACTCCAAAGTTGATGGCAACTTGGTAATAATTTGTGCATACTTCTTAGGTCTATTAACGAATTCTCTTTAATTCGTTTGAAAGTCTGGAAATTTCTTAGTCGAATCGTTAATATGGATCGAAAATCAGTTGCTTTGGAATGGTACGAGTTCCAACCCAGTTCCCCCTAAAACCCGCAAATATATGGTGGGAATGGGGAACCAGACCTGTCCACCGATTTTTGTTCTGTATAGCTATTCCAATCTGAATTGGTATTTTTTACAACCATGTTGAAAAATAAATTAATACTAATAAATTTAGGGTGTGGTTTGTATAGAGGCGAGGCTCTAAACAATCAAAGTAAAGTGCACCTTCAAATAGTGTTGAGAAATGTGGTTGCAATACTGGAAATCTTCGTCATAACCTTAAAATATATTTCATATTTAATTATAAATTTTAAAATATCAAAAATAATGTAGATCGAGCAGATCTACGAGAACATGAAAATCTTGAAACTTGACTATCCAAAAATGAGTTACAAGATGTACTATTTTAAAAACTTGAAATCCATTTTTCTCTTATGTCCATGGATGTTGATGTCGAGATGATCAATTTGAGCATTAAAAAAACCGCTTCTAGTGAAATGTTTGAGGTGGCATCTAATTTGATTGTTTAGAGCCTCAGCCCTATATATAAACTTTTTCCATAAATTAATCATCCTTTTAGTATATGCTAGGAAAAATTCCAATCGAATGAGCATTTTTTCAACCGTGTGTAAAATAAACTAATACTAATAAATTAATCATCCTTGTAGCATATGGTAGGAAAAGAAAAATGAGCCAGTTCACTTGTGACATATTATAAATAATCGCCGGCTTTGAAGATTGAAGAGTGAGAAAATCACAGTTGGTAATCGCCGGCTTTGAAGATTGAAGAGTGAGAAAATCAGAATTGGGTAGGGATTTTCACAAGAGAATGAAGCCCTCAATGTGCCAGCAAGCAAGGTGTCCTTCTATTAGAGCGGAGAACATCGAAGCTGAGAATTCAATAATAAGTTGGCCTTCTTCTCTTTCTTTGCCACCACCTGAAACTCCACAAGAGTCCATGGAGTTCCTTGCTAGGTCATGGAGTGTCTCAGCTTTGGAGGTGTCCAAAGCTTTGAATGAGGCTTTTCATGGTCCTCGTGTCAAAGATGAGAGCACCTTGGAGATGGAAACTGCCTCCACAGACACTTCTACTACCACTGATTCCACCAACTGCAAGCAAAAGCTCTCCAATTCGGTAATGATTTTGAGAGACTCTCTCTCTCTTTCACACACACATACTCTCTCTCTCACACATACTCTTTCTGATGTGCTCTCTCTCTCCATCATGGGTGTTCTCTCTCACACATTCACACTCTCTCTATGATGGGCGTTCTCTCTCGCATTTATATCAATGTTTCATTAATTTGAGGTTGAAATTGGGGAAGGGACATTTCTTATTGTGTTTGTGGTGTGATGTGGCTCAGGAGCAAGAGTCCATTGATTTGAAAAGAGGATTCTTACCATTCCAGAAGCCTACCCATCGAATGTCTGGTGGAAGCCCTCCAGTTTCTCCTACTGACCATGAAGATCTAAAAGTACAGAACTACATGATTTATGCCAATTTTTGTTTGCTTCTATTTTATACATTAAAGCATTCTTTATTGAAGAGAGAGAGGCATATTTTTGTTTTCTATTCTTCATACTGAGCACTTTTACTCTTTGAATCATGGGATACTTCAAGTCTCTAACAGAGAGAGAGAGTCAGATTTAGGGACATTTTTTTATATCTTTCTACATATCAAAGTGGCCTATCCTTGAATGGTGGGATACTTAAGAACTTCATTTTTTTAGTTCTTTTTTCACATAGAAGTAATCGATTAGTCACTTTCCCTACTTATGATTCTAAACTTTGACAAAAACACCCAAACATCGTAGGCATTATCTTTTTTTACTTTCGAGTATATGGGTTTTTTATTTACCATTATTTATCTGTCACTATTTGATTATTTTTACCAAAAATCTTGAGAATGTACAAAAATGGCATGATATTGTTAAGGGTGTGGTCTGCATAAAGCCGAGGCTCTCGACTATCAGAATAAGGCACACCTTCAAATAGTGTCGAAAGATGTTGTTTCGGTATTAGAAATCTTTGTGATATAGCCTGAATATTTATTTTCACATCTAATTATAGAATTTAAAGATCGAGCAGATCCATAAATACTTGAAAATCTTAAAAATTGATGGCTAGAAAATGCATTACATGATGCATTATTTTCAAAATTTGAAAACCATTTTTTCTCATGTCCATACATCTTGAAGTCGAGATGGTCGATTTGAGGATATTTAGGCATCAAACAACCTTTTATAGTGAATCTTTAATATGTGTCTTAATTTGATTGTTTAAGGCCTCACCCTTATATAACCTTTTTCTTTTAAAAAAAAATTGTCACTTTATTAGTGAAATTGTTGATTTAACGCTTCTGTCGATTTTTAAGGTGGTTTAACCATTTTATTGATATTTTTTCAAATTATTTTGTGCAGGAATGGCTTGTGCTACATCAAGCACTCAATCCAGATTTACTACGCAATGAGGGGCTCCACAACACTAAGGTATGTCACTCGAAGGTTCCTCAAACTCAAGCCACATACTCCATACCAAAATTTTGTATTACTAGGAACCGGGTTTGGGCTTTAGCTATTGGTAGTTGACATTAGCAATGTTATATCTCAAGTTCGATTATACTATTGCATAACGCAAAACAAAAAAAAATCTCATACTACAGAGTGTTGTATAGTACATGCATGACAATGGTGTCCACCATTTGTACATAAAGATGGATGTTGGAGATGAGCCATAAATGATAGGGTGCGGTTACTTAACACTCGTATTCTGTCATCCCGGAGCATGGATGCCGTAGTGGTGTACCGTGTACCATGAACCAATGATATATGGTATGCCCCTTATTTTACATTTCCATGATATTCATACAGATTTAGAATCAGTGTCTCACATGATATTTTAGAAGAAAACATTAAAAACTCAAATTTGGATTCTTATATGATATCCTTAATGCATCTCTTCTAATCCAATATAAAAAAAAGTAAGTAATGATCACCCTTTTTTTTTTTTTGGGCAAGTTTTTTATGCTTCTTCAATAGCATATAAGTTCTATCCTCCCCCTACCATCCAGCTGTCCAATTTTGATCAAGAGAGCCACTCACCGTTTGATCTTAGATCCGATGTCTCAAAGTGTTTTATTTTTAGTTTTTTTTATACAAATTGTATGAATATGGAATTTGGTACCTGCCATCTTCTCATTGGGGTGCACCTATAAAAAATATTAAAAATATTTTTTTTGATAAAATATAATGACCAAAATACCTCTTGAAACTTTTAGGGGTATTTTGGTTATTTTATTTTATTGAAAATATTTGTTTTTATATTTTTCTCCCATGCGAGTTTAATAGAGGAATGAACGTCCAAAATTTGGTGTCAAAATAGTTTATAAAAAAATATTAAATATAAAATGGTGTACAGACATGACATTGTGATTGCGCCAATCTTAGCCTTCCATTCAGAATGGATGGTTGGATAAAATGGAGGATAGAACTTCTATGCTGCAGGGAAAGCATAAAAACCTTTTCCTTTTTTTTTTTGCTTCATTTGGAGAGAAAAAAGGTGTTTTTTTTTGGTAATTCAATGAATTTGTTAGTGGTTTTTTAAGCTGTCAGTGGGCATGGGTACCATTATGGGTGGCACTAAGTTATGACATGTGTTATCCCCATGACCTCAGCCCCTTTTCTCAAAAAAAGCAAAAAAAGAAGATTTTTTCAAAAGATTAAAGATGGAGAGAACCTTTTTTTTTCTTCTATGTAGATGTGCAAGAGCGGTCTACTAGGCGGGAAGACCGTCGGCCGATGGTTAAAGGATGAGAAAGAGAGAAAGAAAGAAGAGAACAGAGCTCGAAATGCTCATATACATGCCGCCGCATCCGTGGCTAGTGTGGCTGCTGCAGTTGCCGCGCTTGTTGCAGCAACGGCTGCTTCTCCAAGCAGAGATAGCCCTTCAAAGGCTGTGGAGGCTGTGGCCTCGGCAGCCGCACTCGTGGCCTCGCACTGTGTGGAGGTGGCAGAGAGCATGGGAGCCAATCATCACCACATGGCATCTGTGGTTAGCTCGGCAATGAATGTGAGGACACCTGGGGATATCATGACCCTAACTGCAGGCGCCGCTACAGGTATTATTGATGAGAAAGCTTTATCATCCATGCTCTTATAGTAATAAAATGTATAGATTGTCTACAAAGTTATCATTTATCTTTGTACATGGAGGTCATAATCATTCTAGTCCCTTAAATTTCAAAATTGGTGGTTGTAAGAGTGTTACTGAATAGACACAAAGTTCCAAAAAACAAAATTTTTTGGATTTTGTGATTCACCCCAAGCCATCCAATGTGGCATCTAATGAATAAAAATGATTCTGACCTCTATGTACAAAAGATAAATAGTTCCTATATAGATCATCTCTAAAATGTACACTCAAAATCATTTTCTTATTTTAAAACTATTCATCTGATGATTATTAGGGTAATTCCAATGTCTGAGATGAAACAAGTCCATATAAATATGTGACCCCAGGTGTTATGCACGGGGGCTCTAAACCCGATGGGTTGTTTTTTAGAAAATAAAGTACGATATAATATGAGAAATAATACATGAAACAAACATACACAATAATACAAAATATTTACGTGGTTAACCCCAAAAGGGCTACATCCACAGGGGCGATAAAATGAAAGCCACAATACCAATGAAAGTTACATTAAAGATTTGAGACATAGAGTTGTTTCTCTAACCCTCGACAAAACCCAGTTGAGAAAAACACTTTTAAACTATTCTCCTGACCGATACCACATGTCATTTTTTTTTATCTTTACTTCTGACAACCATTACCGACAACACTAGATAAATAGAGATGCGAGAGCAACGAGAAATTGACTTTCTCTAAGGAAAAATCACCCAAAATATTCATGAGAATCGCTTCTCTGCAAGAAACCAACATCTCAATCTTCAGGAGTCTATAGGAGGCACAATAACAATGTTTCTCTCTATAGGAAGCTCTTTTCTCTTTAAAGAAAAACCACATTTCTCATATTGTAACCCAAATAAGGCA